ACCTGACACAAAATGAACTGCACTGGTCATGGCCTCTCATTAAAACTCCAGAAAATCCATCTTGAAACCAGTCACTAGTAAGCACATGATGATTATTGTCAGAATGAGAGTTTGTGTAGACTGTATTCATGAGTCAAGTTTTCTATGATAGTTTTTAATGATGATCTAGCTAATCTTAAAGTAATTGAATAACGAAATAAAATTTTGGTTATAGTTTATAGTGGTCAAGTTGAAAAATTTTAACATCATTAGATTTGCCCATAGATAGACAATTATGTATGGAAAAAATTTTGAATACTAGACTACTTATTAAATTATTTAAAAAGTAGATTGATTGACAGTTTGATAGATAGAAATGAAATTGAAGTTGCTAGTATATATATATATATATATATATATATATATATATATATATCACATGGCTAATCATTCTTTAGTGAATTAACTTGTAGATTATTGTTTGATATTAAATTGAAAATATTGAACTGTGTTTTAATCGAATCATTATCATTATTTACTTGTATGATCAAAAATAATCAGCTAACCATAAATTAGTTATTTAGTTGCGTGGATAAACTATCGTAGTTATATTCCAGTAGGAATTAATCATGGATTGTAAAATGTTGTGATATGATGTGTTACTTGCATAATCACGTGAGTTATGGATGGGAAAAATATAGATGAGTTATGTCGATAATCATTTTGCTTTACAAATTGTATTTTTGGGAAAGTAGAAAGTGGTGTGTTTTATTGATTATGTGAAAACAATACAGTAAGATAAATGGTTAATTCATTATGATCGTTACCACTCATGGAGAAGCATAAGCCACCCACCAGCATTCTCCATCTAACTCTGTACCAAACAATCATTTCCAGTTCTTTCCAGCTGTTATTCATCCTTGTCATGTTTGACTCCAATTCTCGGTGCAGTATGTTCTTCAACCTTCCACTTTTACGTTTCCATTCAGGATTCCACGTCAGCGATTGCTTCGTGATGCAGTTTGATGATTTCCTCAATGTGTGTCCTAGCTAATTCCAACGTCTTTTCCTAATTACCTCCTCAATTGAAATTTGGTTTGTTCTCCTTCTCCTTCACAATGGACTGTTGCTGATGGTATCCGGCCAACGAACATTGAGTATTTTTGGAGGTAAATGTTTGTAAATTGTTGAAATTTCTAAAAATCTCCACAAAACCCCTTCTGATAACAATCATCATCTGCTCACTAGTGACTGACTTCAAATACACTCCTGGAGTTTAATGAGAAGCCGTCACCAGCGGAGTTCAAACAGGTCTGTTGTGAGATATCAGCTCACTAAAGACATCGGTGGATGTGTCGCTCAATTTCGTGGATTGGTTGAAGTTAGACAGTAATATTGTTGGTTGAGCGCTCGCGAGCTAGACTGATAGGTCCTGAGTTTGAATCTCGCGGGGGGCGGGGGGACTCCCATACTAGGACGAAACGGCTATCCAGTGCTTCCAGCTTTTTCATAGTGATCTAGCTTCAATTGACTCATGATTTCAACTAACATTGTATGAATAATATGAATAATTAGTATTCAATTTCGGGATATTGAATTGTATTTTAAGAATTCTATCTAGGGTTTTATTTTACACTATTCTTAATAAGATAATTTAATTAGGTAATTTAAGACATTTAGTAACCACAACTTACTAATATTGCAAAGTATATGACAAAATCAGTAGTAATGATGGTATGATTTTAATGAAAATATTTTTTTCCGTTTTCGTTAAATTAGCATTTTAATTCAATATTAATGTTATTCTTGAATAAGTATGGTACTTACAAACGTTACAGAAAGTTCTGTTTAATAAGTTCGTATTAGTTAATGAAGGTTATGCATCACAATCATCAACTATCTGCTTTCAGATATATTTAATGCGAATTTTCGCATTAATGTTAACTATCAAAATGAAATCAGTCACATGAATATAGCGGTACACATTAAATACAATGAGCTACTAAGAACAGATTTTCAATGATGACAATTTATTCCATAATGAGATCTAATAAAACCATGCAATACATAAAAAAAACTGGTACCATTCAAAATTTAGGTAATAATAATGAATAAATGAATTTTAAACGAAGTGGGATATTTAATTGATGTAACATTTAAACACAGTCATTAGGTTTATATTCTAATACTATCTGGTACCTTGATACTGTGGTCTTGTTTACATATATATATATATATATATATAACATATAACTGACCATCGCCTAACTAATACTTTCTATAACCACTGATCCTATTATCACTTCTACTAATGTGGGATTTGTCTTAATAGTTTTGTCCTGCAGTGCTAATGTATTGCATCAACTTGAATCGATACAGATCTATGCCAGATTTTACGTTGTAAATGACTGAATGACTTAGGGAACATGATGGTATACATGACCACTGAACACTTTAGAGTGAAATAAAAGGGTAACTTTGCTATTTCAGAAAAATTAACACACTGAGTGAAATACAGAATTTATGTTGGTTGCTCACGGTATCGATCATCTTAAACATGAGTGTATGTAAAATGATATGGTTTATTTTCATTTATTTTCCTGATGAGTATTGATTTTCACAACATTCAATGTTTTTCTTTTTTCCCTTTTTCATTTGAAGACATCTAAAATTCAATGAAATTAAATCAGTTTCATTTTCTTTACAATCTGTCATGATTTATTAATTCATAAATAATTGTTATCTATCATATCAAATTTCATTACAAACCACTTTTTATTTCCGTGGTTGAGATCATGAGTCAGTTGAACCTAGACCATCATGGAAAACCTGGAAGCACTGGATGGCCGTTTCGTCCTATTGTGGAACTCCTCAGAAGTACGCACCTCCTTTATGTACTTATTCACTGTATTTTGTGTGGGCAGTGGTAAATGTATTTTGTGGCTATCATACTTTAATTCTAGTTTGTGTATGAATAAATAGTTGATATTTCACTAAAACACTGGACATTTTATGAGTTATTCTCTTATCAAACATTTGAAATCAATAGATGTAAGAATATCCTAAATCAACCAACATATTTATTGTACAGTTTATATCACACAGTGGACTTAATTAAGCAACCATCGGAAACTAAGACGATTTATACTTATCAGATGCAGTTTTCATTACGAGCTAACAAGTCACCTGAATAGATAACAATTATGTCCGTTTTAGAGACCGGCCTAGAGATTGTTTTTATTCAGAAATTATATTGGGGAGTTGTGAACATTTTTGAGTCAATAATTGTTTAAATTTCATTTCTGTCTTTAGTATTTCAATTTCTTTCTAACATTTGTTATAGTATTTTTAATTACTATTGTTTGAGTAGAATCGTGTTATAATGAGTTCCTTCTTCATGGAGAACTACCACAAGCACCATCAAAAAGTTACAAGTATTCATAAATATTTGTCTACAAAAAATACTCAATGTTCGTTGGCCGGATACCATCAGCAACAGTCCATTGTGAAGGAGGAGGAGAACAAACCAAATTTCAATTGAGGAGGTAATTAGGAAAAGACGTTGGAATTAGCTAGGACACACATTGAGGAAATCATCAAACTGCATCACGAAGCAATCGCTGACGTGGAATCCTGAATGGAAACGTAAAAGTGGAAGGTTGAAGAACATACTGCACCGAGAATTGGAGTCAAACATGACAAGGATGAATAACAGCTGGAAAGAACTGGAAATGATTGTTTGGTACAGAGTTAGATGGAGAATGCTGGTGGGTGGCTTATGCTTCTCCATGAGTGGTAACAGACATAGGTAAGCAAGTTGCAATAGTACTAAAATTTACTTGATATATGCTTCACTCGACAGAATGATTCTATCAACTTTGCACTATAAAAATAATTGAGTATTTTAATTTCTTATATATCAATCAGTGGTGAAATTATATATTAATTCAATGTGTTCTGTTAACAGAAAATTCCAATTAAAGCAAGATTCAGTCAGGATATTTTAGAATCATGTAACTAAGCTGTTCCACTCACTTGGGCTCTAAAACTTCTCTATTCGGGTTACTAAGTTAGGCATCCATACTGTAGTACTGAACGAAATGACTGGTTACAATATACCAAAATTTTGTGTTAAATATTCTTCTTACTCAGTGATTAATAGTGAATACTGTTCATCCATATTAATAAATGTAGTCATCACTAGATTATCTCCGACATGGTTTAACTCAACTTGTCAAGTCATTACGATAGAACTCCGACAATTTCCTCTAGAAATTAATTGTTAGAGAGTACACGATTACTATTAGTGTAAGGGATTAGTGGTGATTTTGAAGTTTTACAGGTTGCTTCAGAACCTGAAGTCTGTTTAATAACCATTAAAAACTAGGAAGCAGTGAAAATTTGTTACATTTTATTATTAGATTACTCAGTAGTTTACATTCATGACTAGACCAGAGATCGAGCGCAGGTTCATCAGGTCCCGTATCTAGAGTTCATCTTGACTTCACATTCGTACTTATATGAAGTCCCATACTAGGACAAAACAGACGCCTAATGCTTCCAAGTTTTCAATGATGGTCTAGCACTGATTGGTTCATAATCTCAATTAAAATTCAACTATCTTCACAACCCTATACTGATAATTATCATGTGCTCAATAGTGACTAGTTTCGAGAGGGAATTCTTAGAATTCTAATTTAGAAGCCGTTTATACTTCTAATAGTAGAATATTTTTTGGGGTGGGGGTCAGTTGTCCTTTTAACATACAACATTTGACAGATAAGCCAGTATTATGCATAGACAGATCACTTACTTTGGATCTATTCATGTTTCACCAGTGAAATATTTTATAAATTAATTAAATTAACCAATAGGTAACAGACTAATGTCACCAATAAAATAAAAAACTTATAATAAACCAATAAGCTTTAAATTGTATTCTGCCAAATATTTTAATTGGTTGATTAAAAACCATATGTTGATGAGTCGATAATATTTATTTCAACCCTGCATAGATCTAATAGAAATGTTCATATTGTGAATTACTTTCAACATCTCTCTTAATATATGATGTAATCTATCGAGATTCATCATAGAAAGAACTGTTGTTTGATAAAGGGGATTTAAAAATAACTTTTGAAAAGTATGTATCAATCTAATAACAATAATAATAATACTTCTCATTATTGTCCAGAATACTCAATGGGAAATTGTTCATTATGTAATCATACAAATTATGGTAATGAATATTTAAATTCAGAAAATGACACTAATAGTGATACTTCATTCCAAAATTTGTACAATATGTCAAGCTCTTTATCATATCCACTACTTTGCAGGGAGTTTCATAATACACTAACTACTAACCCTAATTCTCAAAATATAGCTTCAGCAGATACAATGCAATCAGATATATCAACAAATTATGATACTAAATTATTGATGAATACAATAAGAGATTTTGGATGGCCATATTTTGAAAAATCTACGTCTGCTTTTTCTTTATGTTCACATGGAAAATCTAATTTCAGTTCAAGTTATCGTGATTGTCGTCTACGTTATATTAAACAAACAAGAAAACTACAAAAATATCTTCGTGTTACACCTGAAGGTCATATATTAGTGAATAATCCGAAAATTGAACATCACCATATACCACATCATAGTTTACATCAGTCGCCTGGTACTCAATCTTACAATAATTCCAAAATAAATACATTTGAATGTAAAGGTAACTTAAGTAAATTTACAACAAATGGTCATGATTTCTGCAATAATCCATTTGGTTCATTAATTAGCACACCAAAAATTAAACGTATATATACAGCATTTTGGAATTTGGAACCACGTGAAAGTATCACTGTACACAAATTACCTTCATCAAAGACTACAACATTTACAGAATCAACAACTTCATCCTTGAATCATTATACAAATGGTTATGATTACTTAAATACTACTAATCATGAACAAGTTGATGAGTTGGAATTCCCAACGCATAATAATAGTAATAACAATAATGATATAACATCAAACACTCCACATCTAGAACCTTTAATTGAAGATTCTATAAACGATAAAATAACAGATTATCAGATCTAGTCATGAAATCAAATTAATTTAGAATATATTTATGTATTTTTATTTATTTCCTTTTCAATTCATTACTTCGCCCCAATTTATTAAAACAAAAACAATTAAAATTAACAATAGATTATTCTCTTAGATCTGTATACATATGCATATTTTTTATGTACATAACAAAATGCATTTATCAGCTGAATTAGACTTTTATCTCTGGTATAATACCCTGCTGCTATTGCTGCTGCTACTGATGATAATGATTATGTTGATGGTGATACAGATATTAGTGACTGAAGTATGAGGGTAAGATTAAGATAAATATCTTAAGATTATATACATAGACTGAGTGGTTGAATGATAGACCATAACCAACTTTTGATTACATTTAGAAGAAAACCTTATATACTTAGAGATTTGTTTTCAGATAGATGTTTTAAGAAAATGTCTATCAATAATATACATATATCTAAGGAAACAATTGTCAATTAGATTATCTGATAATTTTGTTAACAGATTGAAAAATTGATGATCAGTTAATGACAGGATATATATACACTAATTCAAATCAAAGATATTTATGCCATAAATTGGATAATATACTAGCAACGTGTTAAACATTAAAAAAGTTCTTGCCTTGATTCGGTTTTTAAAACTTAAACTGTACAACTAATTTTATCTACATTAAAACTAAAATGGAAAATCTCTTTCGATATGCTTCTAGAGTTCTGTTTAAAATATTAGTAAAGAATAGAAAACTACTGAGTAATTAAAAGTTTTCGTAGTAAATATATCGTTACTTACACGTGTCTTATGTATAGTCATATATGTACTGATAATGATGCTCATGAAACAGATGAAATCTCAGATGGAACTCTGAACTATGTTAGTACACTAAGTATAATCACTTCAAAAATCTAATAAGATCATTTTTATAATAGTCTAACAAAATCATACTAAAAACACTAGATATTCTCTACTTTTAAAAAAAGGTCGATTGATTTAAATCGGTAGTGCAAGAATATAATTTAGTTTTTAAACACAAGTTACCATAAATATGATTGTTTACTTTAAGCTTCTTGGAAAGGCTCTTAGTAAGTTGGATTTTCAAAGTACCTCATAAAGCTTCAAGATATACTTCTATTTAAAAATAAAGAGAATTTAGTGAAGGAAATTTTCTTTTCGACGAAATCATTTACTTAAGCTGCACATTTGTATTGATAGTTACATGGAGAATATATATCTATAGAAGGATAGAAAATATTGCATCATAAATTGATTGGAGACTCTTATTACCGACAGTACAAAAGAAAACTTTGTTATGAATAAGGAATTTAAAGGAGATACGACTGCTGAAATCTTAAATAAACGAATTTCAAAATCTTTGAATAAAACGTTCTACTCAACTAAGCTCCGAATTGTTTTCTCAAACTGGCCTACCATTCATGTATGTGTTAAGGATAAACTTCCGCTTTGGGCCACATCAATGTGCATTTATGAATTTACTTGCCTATGTGGGGCAGGTTATATCGACCACACAAAGCCATCGCTTTCCAAATGTATCTCAGAACATTATTCGGCATGGCTTTTAAAAGGAGAATGCGAAACAATTACCAGTTCAATACAGCAATATTTAATCAACCGTGGACACATCGCTCCAAAAGTCTTCATTTAAAGTAATCTACACAGTCAAAGGAATCGGATCAAAGGGAAGTCCAATCAATATTGTATACACTGCTGAGACATTGATAATCCATGAACTCCAGCTCCAACTTTGAGTGCGAAAACGATTCGTCCAACCTCTCATCCTTCCATGGCCCTAATTTCGTAAATTGATATGTTTGCTTATTTTTCCTTTTTTTCGTCATTTTTATTTGGCTATTATTTTTTAAATTAGTTTTATACTTTGAAACTCTAATCAGTTATTGTTATTACCTTTAAACAAGTTTTCTTGATTATTATTCAATTTTTATTATTATGACCTTTATGTTTGTCGTTCATCTTTTTATCTGTCAATTGGACAATTATTTGACCCGTAAATAATTTTTATCCATATATTCCTTCCTTACACCTTGATTATTGCGTAACCTCATTTGATAATAAGAATCTCTAATCGATTTATGATTCAATCTTTTCTATCCTTCTCTAAAGATATATTTTCCATATAACTATCAATATGAATGTACACATTAAGTAAATGATTACGTCGAAAAGAAATTTTTTTTTGCTGAATTAGAAATATTAACTCCAAATTTTTATAAGCGAAGATGAATGGTGGTTAGCAGTGGAATCCAGGACGCGCGTTTCGTTTTATTTAGAACTCGTCAGCTGGATGTACCTGCATCCCAAAGTTGATGTTTTCTCTGGGACTCGAAACCAGTACCACTCGCTTCAAACATCATCGAGTTATCCACTTAGCTACTGAATCCTGATAGCAACTTGTTTGTGCAATGAGGTGAAATTTAAATTCACTTGGTATTGTTTACTTGAATCTTCCGATTGATGATTAGGACTGCAATTGATCAGTCTCTTATTGGACTCGGTAGCTAAGTGGATAACGCGATGGAATTTGGAGCGAATGGGACTGGGTTCGAGTCAAAGTGTGAACATCAATTCTGAGATGCAGGCACATCCAGCTGACGAGTCTTAAATTGGACGTAACGGTTGTCATGGATTCCACTGCTAACCACCATCTATCTTTGTTTATAATGCTTGTGAATTAAGGCAATAACGAGGCAATGCACACAGTATGCACATATACCAATAACAGACTGATCAATAACAGTCCTAATCATCAATGGGAATATTCAAGTAAACAATATCAAGTGAATTTGAACTCTAAATTCTATTTTTATGAAATAAATTTAGAGTTTTTTGTTGTAAACCACGGTAATTTCAATATTTCATATAATCACCAACAACTTATCTTACTACTACATCGAATACTTATGTCTAAGTCTGTCTTGATATGCTAGAACTGATCGCTATTCATTCTTTGAAACGTAATCTTTGAACATATATATATTTTAGTCAGTCAAAAACATATATTTCCAAAAAGATGATTTTTCAACTGGGAAAATAAAACATATGCGCCTATTGAACCAAAATATATAATGATATACTTGCCAATAACCTTCTTTGTAAATAATATGACTGGAAAGATTAAAGTTTGATAAGCACCTATAAAGCAAACATCTTACACTTATTTGTTTTAAATGTATTTTAATCATGATTAATTCTCTGTTTGAATTTTGTGCATTAAATGGTTATTTTATTGAAAAAAATAACTTTTTTTGCTAGTTGTTCTGTTTCTTGAATCTATTATTTTATTCATTCAGTATTTATGCGTAATAGTTCCTTGGTGCATGTCACATCAGTTTTTGGCAACCAATTGTAAGCATACAAACAAACATACAATAATTGTTGACGATTCCTTTATTATTATCAGAAGAGGTTGTGTAGGGATTTTAGAAATTTCACTGGTTGAAATCATGAGTGAATTGAAGCTAGATCACCATGGAAAACCTGGAAGCACTGAACGGCCGTTTCGTTCCAGTATGGGACTCCTCAGAAGTGTGCATCCACGATCCCGCCCTCCTTGAGATTCAAACTCGGGACCCATCAGTCTTTCGCCAGGCGCTTAACCAATTAGACCACTGAGACGCATTGCTGAGGAGTCCCACATCAGGACGAAACGGCCATCCAATGCTTTTACAGGTTTTCCATGGTGGTCTAGCTTCAATTGACTCATGATTTCGACCAGTGAAATTTCTTTACTAGTCAAAATTGGAATGACAATATATATATATATATATATAACTTGAATGTGGTTTTCGCATTGTGAAACAGACTGGTCATTTATTATTTCTAGTAATTAGAATGTAAGTGATTTTCATGTAAAGCCCAACGAACCAAACAATGGAACTATGAAGAAGTGGCTTATATTAAGTCACTAAATGTCACAAATACAATTTTCTATTCATTAGAATATCACAAAAAATGTATCTATTATTAACTTTCTACCCAATGTTCAATTTCTTTGATAATATCAAGTTCAACTCACGCCATTGATACCTATAGAATAATAAACAGTTTGTAGATTTTCTCTTATTTACCATATAGTTAAGTTGAACTTACTATTCTAAATGTAACAGCCTAGATTGAGGCACAAATAAGTCAGATTGTATGTTGTTTTTTCTGTAACTGTGTTAGTTTTTTTACTATTGGATATTGAGTTGAAAAAAGGCGTGTTACTATCAACATAACATTGACAACCATAAACTATGTTACAAGTAATCTCGTTTTAATTGTTGAAAGAAACTTTCTCGCTGATATTTGGTCAACCATTTAAACAAATATCAAAAATTAAAACCTCATAAATCTGATCATTTAATATATTGAATTGATATAGGAAATTGAAAGTAATTACATAACTTGTAGATTATTTACATCGAATTAAGTACCATATTTTATGTATTATGCTGATCATTAACATAGTCTTGACAATTTACATTACCTATTCAAGTAAGGCAAGTTGTAGATGAAGAATATCAACAGATCTATAACTTAGTTTTGAATTGTTGAATATTATTTTAAAATATATTTATCTGAAGTGACAGTAATGCTTACAACTAGATCCACACATTTGAAAATAGTTCATGTGAACACATGGATCATCTTATCATTTTTAGACGTAAACTAGTTCGTAATTAGTATTGCTAGATAGGAACTTTATGTATGATAATTTAAGATATTATGTTGTATATTGTGCCTAGAAACTTGCTTGTATATTGAACAGAAAGAAGTTCTAGTAGTTAGCTGATAATCGTCGGAACAGTGATATCCCACAGTGAAAATCAAACTTTAATGAGAACTGTACTTTTCCTAGAGATAATAGTATATAATGCTGATAACTGCCAAGCGAAATGATAAATGAAGCTCAAAGTCTTTTGCCGAATGCGTCTAAGTCAACTTTAATTAATATCACTGTAGTGGAGAAGTAGAAAATGTTGCTAACTAACTAAACAGTCACTTGAAAATCAGTTGTTTTGTACTTATTTAAAGCCTTTAAATCGTGTGCAATCATGATTTTGCCGTGGTGAAGAAACGAGAACTTTTCAGATTTCGCGTTGATTGTATTTTGGGATCATATTAGTCAGAATCTAATGACACATACTTTCAAATATGATAATAGATTTAATGTCCGGATTTGAAAAAGCTGTTATCTTATTCATTAAAATAACAACTATGAGCGAACAGTATTATTTGTAATTATATACTCATTAGCCTTCATCTTAATTCGCAGTCAGATTTGCATAAATACCTTAAGAAGCCACTCAAGATCAATTACTAGTCAATAATAAAAATGAGGTAGATTACGTGACTAAGCAGTGTGTTAAAACTATTATTACCTTGAGAGGCGTACTAATAAGAAAAATATCATCTTGAATAAATAAAGATGGATGGTAGCGCACGTTTCGTTTTATTTAGAACTCGTCAGCTGGATGTACCTGCATCCCAAAGTTGATGTTTTCTCTGGGACTCGAAACCAGTACCACTCGCTTCAAACATCATCGAGTTATCCACTTAGCTACTGAATAATGATAGCAACTTGTTTGTGCAATGAGGTGAAATTTAAATTCACTTGGTATTGTTTACTTGAATCTTCCGATTGATGATTAGGACTGCAATTGATCAGTTTCTTGTTGGCGTGTATGCACTCTGTACGAATCACCTCGATATTGCCTTAATTCACAAGCATTATAAGCAAAGATATGTGGTGGCTAGCAGTGGATTCCAGAACA